TATGTTTTTTATCTGAGAATGGACAAGAGTAGAAAAAGAGAGACAGCAATAGAAGAAGAATGCGGAAAGAACAGGCCTGGGGAAATTAAGGGCATAAAAGGGATCAGCTGGTCATACGTAATTGAGATACTGGTTGGCATGCTTTGCTGTCAGAGCTCCACCAGTTACTGCATACTGTCTTCTATGAGAGTGGGCTTCCTGTTCTGCATGTGGTGGCATGTGGAAAGCTCTGCTTGTGAACTTCAGTATGGGTTATTTATTTATAGATAGTGGAAAAATCCATTTATGTCTGTGCATTTATGTATGTAGCCACAGAAAGCTGTCTTTGATCACAGGCAATGGGAAGACGTCTCATGAATAAGATGGCATTTGGGCTACAATTTACATATTATAACTCCTGTTGTTTTATTAATGAAGATGGATAAACAAATACAACTAATTTAAGGTTGATAGATTAAAGATAATAATGTTCTTGAAAGTTTCTTAGCTTACTTCTTCACCAAGTGGCTAAGTTTCAGAAATACGGTATATATTTTATCTTTAATTATTATTATTTTTTTTTTTCCCCTAAGTTACAGTTAAGGGCTAAATACCCATCTTCTTTTGAAGGTGGGTAGATTTTTTTTTTTTTATTTTTTTAAATCACATTAGTAACTCTCTCAAATCTGGAAATATTTTCAGTATCTTTATACATCACAATAACAACATAAAACAGAATATCTTTAACATATCATGAATTAAAAGTTATAGTAAAATGATAAAAATAACAACATCCCTAAAAGCAGTAAATATTCTAATGTGATTGTAAACTTAAAAAATTTGTTTGTATAGGATTGGAATAAGAAAGCAATTCATTTATTTTATATTTTGTCTTATTTTCAGAGGAAAATAATAAGAATTGAAGTTTTTTGTTTTTGTTTTTAAAGTTGTTAGACTTCTATACAGGAAGGGGAAAATAACCATCAAATAAAGTATTTTCATACTAATGTATGAAAATAATGGAAGGAATGTTCAGCTGAAAATCATCAGGAATTTCAGTAATACATTTTTTATTTTATGGAACCTCTTTCCTGCAAATGAACTTCCAATTGACAAAATTTTCACTATCACTAGTAACACATCAGAAAACAGTGGGTTTTTTACTTTTTTAACTTTTTAACTGTTTTTACAACACCTTTTCCTTGACAAATACTTTGCTGTAAAATCACATCATTAAAGATAGCAAAGAAATTAATCTATATCATACATAATAAAGTGTCCATTTCTTTTTTCAGGCTGATTTTCAAAATGGAATTATTAGCTAAAAAAAAATCAATAATTTCAGGTCACTGTCCTTTACAGTCCTCTCTCAGGTTACTAATAAGTCAGGGAAGAACCTGTTCTATCATACATATATATACATGATTAAGGATCTTTTGAATATATATAAAATATATTTTTTGAATATATATATATATATAATATATGTATTAACCTTATATATATAACACCTTATATTTATATATATAAGGTTAATGTTATCCTCAAAACCCCAGTTCAATTAATTTAAGACAAACACAATTATCTAAATGTTGTGGTAAAAAGTGTCTTGGAAACAAGGAATTTTAGTTTTACATTAAAAACTGTTGCCTTAAATGATATACATTCAAGTGATTAAGAATACTTTTAATTTAAAACACAGAATGTAATATATATCACATTGTTAATAAAGTTTGATTTTAGATATCTGTCAGTGTGCTCTTCTTCACATAAACAAATTCTTCTGATGGATTTTGTAACTAGAAAAGAAAGGAAAAGAAAAGAAAAGAAAAGAAAAGGAAAGGAAAGGAAAGGAAAGGAAAGGAAAGGAAAGGAAAGGAAAGGAAAGGAAAGGAAAGGAAAGGAAAGGAAAGGAAAGGAAAGGAAAGGAAAGGAAAGGAAAGGAAAGGAAAGGAAAGGAAAAAGATCAAGTTATATACTTTATTCCAATACAATAGTAGATATTCCTGACTAGCTATTTAAACTTCTTACTGTAATCACAAGTTTCATCACCCATTTATGACAAGTAGATATATTATCTAGTATTCCACTTTATTTATCTTCTGCAGTGAAAATCTGAGAACTCAGAATGCTGGGAAGGAACCTAGTTCCTTGTAGCAACTTTTACTTTATTTATTTTATTTCACAGAATCACAGAATCACAGAATTTCTAGGTTGGAAGAGACCTCAAGATCATTGAGTCCAACCTCTGACCTAACACTAAAAGTCCCCACTAAACCATATCACTAAGCTCTACATCTAAACGTCTTTTTAAAGACTTCCAGGGATGGTGACTCCACCACCTCCCTGGGCAGCCTGTTCCAGTGTCTAACAACCCTTTCAGTAAAGTTCTTCCTAACATCTAACCTAAAATTCCCCTGGAGCAACTGAAGCCCATTCCCCCTCGTCCTGTCACCAGTCACGTGGGAGAACAGGCCAACCCCCACCTCACTACAGCCTCCTTTAAGGTATCTGTAAAGAGCGATAAGGTCGCCCCTGAGCCTCCTCTTCTCCAGGCTGAACAAGCCCAGCTCCTTCAGCCGCTCCTCGTAGGACTTGTTCTCCAGGCCCCTCACCAGCTTCGTCGCCCTTCTCTGGACCTGCTCAAGCACCTCGATGTCCTTCTTGTAGCAAGGGGCCCAAAACTGAACACAGTACTCGAGATGCGGCCTCACCAGAGCCGCGTACAGGGGGGACGATCACCTCCCTAGCCCTGCTGGTCACACTGTTTCTGTTACAAGCCAGGATGCTATTGGCCTTCTTGGCCACCTGAGCACACTGCTGGCTCATATTCAGCCGACTGTCCACCATCACTCCCAGGTCCTTCTCTGCCTGGCAGCTCTCCAACCACTCATCTCCCAGCCTGTAGCTCTGCTTGGGGTTATTGCGCCCCAGGTGCAGGACCCGGCACTTGCCCTTGTTGAACTTCATACAGTTGACCTCAGCCCATCGGTTCAGCCTATCCAGATCCTCCTGCAGAGCCTTCCTACCCTCGAGCAGATCGACACATGCACATAGCTTGGTGTCATCTGCAAACTTACTGAGGGTGCACTCAATGCCCTCGTCCAGATCATTGATGAAGATATTAAAGAGGACCGGCCCCAGAACCGAGCCCTGGGGGATGCCACTAGTGACCGGCCTCCAGCTGGACTTGACTCCATTTGCCACGACTTCTTTGGGCCCGGCTATCCAGCCAGTTTCTAACCCAATGAAGATTTATTTTATTTTATTTTATTTTATTTTATTTTATTTTATTTTATTTTATTTTATTTTATTTTATTTTATTTTATTTTATTTATTTTATTTTATCTTTCCTCTGGTTTTAGTTTAAGCCTAAAGAAATCGGGATCTTGTTTTTCTTCATGGTATTTTCCACAGTCTTATAATTTTAACTCTGCTCTTTTTCTTCTTTTGGTAGAATAAATTGCTTAGCTGTTAGTAAGGAGTGAAAGATTCAAATTGTCCATCATGATACATGATATCTATCACTCCTTATGTGTTTGCAGGTTTGTGGTTTCACTACCAAAGGATTCTGAATTTACACCCCACAACGTGCAGAACTGCTGCCTTGTTTTTGGATAGTCTCAGGCATCATTTCAATTAATTCAAGTTCTCCTATTGCAAAAGATGAAGAAATAAAATGAAATTACATTGTTTGATTACTTCCAACATTACATTAATGTAATTCTAAAGAAGAACAATATTTTTAAGAACTTTCCTTGAAGAAAGAATCCTTTAAAATTCTACTACGGTCATGTAGTATGGGGATGTGGGGGAGCTGGAGGGTGGAGGAGAGGTACTCACTTCTGCAGAATAAACTGTGTCTATGTTTCCATGGTTAACTGTCATGTTTTATCTCCATCGTAAGGAGATAAACCTGGTTCTGTGTGTTCCAAAAGTTACAAAGTGTCCCACATTCTCTTTTAGGGCTAGTTTAAGGCTAGACTCCTCAGGAACAGGTTAGCATGTGCAAGCTACATACAAATTGGCTTAGGTTATCCTGTGGGATACTCCTGTGACCCCACAATATATTATCAGGTTTTGTGTTTTTTCTTTCATTTCAAAGTTTCTGAAACAATAGAACTCTTTATGCAGCTTGTCAAAGCAGAGGTACTAAGGGTACATATTTCACAGAGTACAAATAGGTAAGAGGACACTGGAAATTGAAAATACGATAATAGTTGGATAACTGTATAGTGTATAGAAAACAATATGTTGTCTGTTTTCATCTATTCTGTCATCAGGACTCTGGAGTGAATTAAACCCAGGACCACAGCAGCTGAGTGCATATTCTGCTAAAAAGCAAAATACCAAGAAGAAAAATTAAGAACCACTGATTGCCACCACCCCTAGATGTTAGTTCATGCCCTGGCTATATTCCAATGAGCCATTTCTAATATACTTCAGATATAGAAAGGGAAATATGCAATGCAAGCCAACTCAGTCCTGGGATTTTTATTTTTATTATTTTTTTTGTACAAGTGCCATGTTTCTAAAAGCTTAAACAGTAATCTGTTTCCATTAAAAATGTAAGAACATTTCTTTATAATTATCCCGATTTGGAGAAAAAAAAAAAAAAAGATTAATTAGCAGCGATAATAGCTTTATCTTACTGCTTCATCTTTCTTTCACACACTCTAAACCACTCTTACTTTTTATTTTTTATTGAGGTACTTCAGAATTAACATTCAGAAAGTTGCATTTAATCAAAAATATGAATCTGTTCATTGTAAAATGAATCATCAGCTTAAAGGTTAAAATTTCATTAATGTTGAGTGTATGGAAAAGATCAGTTTAGGGCAAGCTTCTCAGTTTTTATATCTGCATGTATGTATTTGTTCAAATGTATTAAAAAGCTATTGATAATAATTTTTGAAGACATAACTTATCAGTTTTCTGTAAAGCCCAGTCATTCTCATTCCTTTGCCTAAAATTTAATTCAGTTAAGTAGTAAATATGTAAATAAATTAATCTACCTCATTTTTGTAAAAAGTAGCTATCCAAACCCATCAGCTTAAGCTATATTTCACGCACATGAAATTTGACAACTTAAATCCTTCCATCACAGTTCATGTTCACAATTCCTTTTACTCCTTTTAGCTTGTCAGAGAACTCCAATGTTTAAGCCAAATGTCCTCTCACAGAGATATTTGATGGTTACTTTGTTTACAAAGAGTGTTTAATGATGTAAAGTAATGTAAAATGCCAGATGCCTGACAAAATGTACTGGAAGCTTGAAAAGATTATGTTTAGAAGGAATGTTAGAATTTCAGGTTTAAGCCTATGAAGTAAAAGGTCAGGTTGTATTTCTACTTTATTTTGCATATTCTTATTTTTCTGTGGCAGAAAATACAGCCATAGATTCTGTGAAGTGACTCTCAGTACAGAACATAGTATGAAGTGAAATCTTTGATAGATAGATTTTGAGATATTGATAGATTTGATAGATAGACTTTTTTTTTCATACATTTATAAATAAATATAGATGTGCACACGTGAAACACATTAGAACACACTAGAAACTAACAACATTTTAAATAGAAACAAAACAAAACAAAATGAAAGGAAAACTGTATTATAAAGTCATTCACAGTCCACAGATTAAAATATTCAGCAAAATCTTTAAGGTTCAAGTCCAGGAAAATTCTCAGCTGACTCCCATAAAATGCCAAAAATTTCTCATGTGGAGAAGATTACAATGATTAGCAAAGCCATGTTTGAGGGAGACTAGAAGTGGTGTTGTATCAAAGTGATACTATATTACCATTGTTAGTAACAAGCCAGAAGCAAAATTTTCAAGGCCCTTGGAAAGCAGGTTGTCAGGATCATTTTCTCTGAACTCTTCTTGAGCTTTGCTGTCATTTGGTTTAGAATCATAGAAGGCTGGAAAGAAAAATAAAATATAATTTTAATGTTACTGTTCTTGTTACTACAATTACTGCTACTGTATTTTTCCTGTAATAGTACTGTTTATTTTCCCTTTTTCTCTTACAGAAATCACACAGAATCACACAGAATTTCTAGGTTGGAAGAGACCTCAAGATCATCGAGTCCAACCTCTAACCTAACACTAACAGTCCCCACTAAACCATATCCCTAAGCTCTACATCTAAACGTCTTTTGAAGACTTCCAGGGATGGTGACTCCACCATCTCCCTGGGCAGCCTGTTCCAGTGCCTCACAACCCTTTCAGTAAAGAAATTCTTCCTAACATCTAACCTAAAACTCCCCTGGCATAACTTTAGCCCATTCCCCCTCGTCCTGTCACCAGGCACATGGGAGAACAGGCCAACCCCCACCTCTCTACAGCCTCCTTTAATGTACTTATACAGAGCAATAAGGTCACCCCTGAGCCTCCTCTTCTCCAGGCTGAACAAGCCCAGCTCCTTCAGCCGCTCCTCATAGGACTTGTTCTCCAGGCCCCTCACCAGCTTTGTCGCCCTTCTTTGGACCCGCTCTAGCACCTCGATGTCCTTCTTGTAGCGAGGGGCCCAAAACTGAACACAGTACTCGAGGTGCGGCCTCACCAGAGCCGAGTACAGGGGGACGATCACTTCCCTAGCCCTGCTGGTCACACTGTTTCTGATACAAGCCAGGATGCCGTTGGCCTTCTTGGCCACCTGAGCACACTGCTGGCTCATATTCAGCCGACTGTCCACCATCACTCCCAGGTCCTTCTCTGCCTGGCAGCTCTCCAACCATTCCTCTCCCAGCCTGTAGTTCTGCTTGGGGTTATTGCGCCCCAGGTGCAGGACCCGGCACTTGGCCTTGTTGAACTTCATACAGTTGACCTCAGCCCATCGGTGCAGCCTATCCAGATCCTCCTGCAGAGCCTTCCTACCCTCGAGCAGATCGACACACGCACCTAGCTTGGTGTCATCTGCAAACTTACTGAGGGTGCACTCAATGCCATCATCCAGATCATTGATGAAGATGTTAAAGAGGACCGGCCCCAGCACCGAGCCCTGGGGGACGCCACTAGAGACTGGCCTCCAACTGGACTTGACTCCATTTACCACGACTCTTTGGGCCCGGCTATCCAGCCAGTTTCTAACCCAACGAAGCGCTAATGTACACTAATCTTTGTTTAGATTTTTAAGATTTACATGATTCTGAAAGTCAGATATTTGGCCTTGCATACAAGATTATTCTTTTTGTTGATATCAATACTTTATACACAATGCAATTAGAATTCCAGTAGTATATAATGACTATTTGCATTTACCCTGCTGCAAAGTTACTTAATGCACAAATTCAATAAATAACCAGGATAATTTTGATGGGAATGATAGTAATGTTCTTTCTGCAAATGAATAAGCAATAAACAATGACTTTCTCCTGTTATATTAATCAGAAATTTTCATAGAAGCAAAAACAATTGCATTTTAGGAATAGATATGCCTGTTTTAATGCTTTCAACCAAAGATTCAATCTTTATTGAGTCAGTTTTCATTAAGTACGTACATGTGGAAGATAAATAAAATTTGTCAATTAAAATACATAATTAAAGCTCACAGTATGTTGTCAGAGAATCTTTAAAGATTGGTTGTGAAGCAGACAGGGTCTCAGGGAATGCTTCTGGTCTGTTCTAGTAGTTGCTTCCTTCACTGAACATTCCTTAACATTTTACTGAGGTTAAAAGAAAAATTCCCTTTAACTTAAATGGATTTAAATCAAATTGCAAAGAGAAGATTCATTCTAAACATAAACATATGCCACTTTTGATTTAGTGCATTACCTGGGCAGACCAGCAACTGCCCCTCCAGAATGGCAGAGGACACCCTTAGGTTTGATGCTTTCAGCTCCATGTTGAGGCCTCCATGCCTCCATACCTTGAAAAGCACAAGATACCATTGTTTAGATAAAAGATATTTCTCTCTTAAACACTTGACTTCCGTGGCACCATACAGAGAGGAGAGTGTTCCATTTCCATTCCCTAAAGTAGTTTACATTTTGTTTTATTTCAAATTCAATATTGTAGCAATTGGATTAAACCCAGTGATGGTATGGCTGTGTGTAACAAAATAATAACACAATTTTTAAGACAATACTCCTTCCTATCAAAATAATTGCATCTTTTTTTTTTTTTTTTTTTTTTTTTTTTTTCTGAGCAAACTCTTAGCACTAGGTCAATGTATTGCATCAAACTTCTAATATTCAGCAACTTGTGTTGCTGAACTTGTCAGTCAATTCAATTAGAATGCTCCCACCACATATGACTAAATGTCCTTTGCAGACACTGACTATGCTTACTGTCCAGAGCTGACATTCAATACACATTGACATACATGTATATCCTATGGAAACTTTGGTTCCTGTTCCTCTTATTGATGTGCCACATATTTTAACTGATTAGTGTTTTAAAGTACATATATGCTTAAAAGAGACAGTCTTGTGTTCTGCAGTGGGGGAACCTCTCCATGAACAGAATCTGTTCAGAGTGCTGGGGGAAAATCTATCCAGGACCATCTGATGCTGCTTGATAGTGGAAATGCCAGTGCCTCAACAGATGTTAAATTCACTTCCTGTCTATATTCTTCTTTTCATTCTATCTTATTTGTACAACTATTTTGTTATGCAGCTTGTCAAGAATTTTTTACTGAGATATAGGAAGATCTGACTGTCCTCCGATCCTGGTGAAGAACATCATGTTTATTGTTGTTTTTTTGTTGTTGTTGTTTTTATTTTTTATTTTTTTGTGTGTGTGTTGAGTTACTAAAGTGAAAGATAATGTAAATGTGACCTTTTGACTTAGTGAGGTATCTCTATTTAATTTTAACATCTTCTGTTATGTGTGTGTATGTGTAGGAGAGATCTAGAAAATTTCTGTAATAATGTCACAGAATGTCTTAAGAATAAAAAGCAAGACAGAACTGTAAAAAGATTTTATATTCTTTTGGATCAGAAACCTGAACAGCCAGTTTTGAATATTAATAAGATACTTTTGTTGCAGAGTACAAGAAAGATAACTGCATATGCATCAAATGACTGGATTATGACTCTACAGAAGTTAGAGTTCAATGCTGCAATTAAATCAACTCTGGTTAAAACAGCAACTTTGCAGAAAGGTCATACATGAGTGCTGAGAGGCTGCAATCTAAAATATCTGAAATAAACAGCAAATTAACTATTAAGAGCATGAAAATCAAATCCTTTCTGAATAACTGTTGACCAAGCCAAGATGATATTGCTGAGAAAATCTTACATAAATTTGAAGAAAAAGATGAATTACATTGGTAGTGTATTTGTATTGAGGATGTTTAGTGGAAATCTTTGTTAATGAAAAAAGTTATATATATATATATATATTTATGTTTCTACTTTATTATTATTATTATTATTATTTAACATCTTCAAACTGTTAGAGAAGCTGGAAATGAATCCTAATATATTCAGGAAAGCAAATAATAAACTTTATGGAAGATAGAACCTCAAATGAGGAAAGATTAATTAGAATATTATAATAGAAATAAATAAAAATAGACATACCTAAGGTATGTAAAATCCTAATGTATTAACTGACTATACAATGACTATAAAACACTTTTTAATCCAATGCAATAGCCAGGATCAAATAATTTATTTGAACTGATTTCCTATTTATTTATTATTTAAAATAATTATTATTACTTATTGAAGGATTAGCAGTGCCAGCCTTTCAAGAGAAAACAAAGAAACATACAGCTCCACTCTGGAAAAAGAAGAATCCTTGAAAAGATCTATGGGGTCAATAAAGTAAGTTACAACTTGTACAAGACCTAATAGGTGAAGATTCTCAGGAAATTAACATGAAAAAATGGTAAACATTGTCTAATTTTCATTCAGTGTTTTGCAGATGAAACGTGCAGTAGGGGGTAGGTGGAATATAAATGATGCAAAAGTAGTTTTGTATGCAAAGCATATATAACATAGGACTCTGATAAACTGAATTAAAAACAAAATAAATAAATAAGAATCTAGCATCCTATACAAAGTGTATCTGAGGCTCCAGGTTTAATTTTAGAACAAATCTGTGGAGTTGCAATTATAAGGGAAACAACAGGACCAGCACTAATTATTGTTATGTGTTCTTCTTGCTTTTTTTTTTTTTTTTTTTTTTTTTTTTTTTTTAGTGCACCTTAATCTTTTCTAAAAAATTTGAATTTGTTTATCATGTGGAGTGGTATGAAATTTCACCATTGTGGTACCTTTCACTATTTAGGTACCTTAAAGGAGGCTGTAGCAAGGTGAGGATCTGTCTAGTCTCCTACATGCCTAGTGACAGGAATGGGCTAAAATAGCTCCAGGGGAAGTTTAAGTTGGATATTAGGGAGAACTTCATCGAAAGGGTTGTTAGGCATTGGAATGGGCTGCACAGGGAAGTGGTGGAGTCACCATCCCTGGAGGTCTTTAAAAGATGTTTAGATGTAGAGCTTAGTGATATTGTTTAGTGGAGGACTGGTTAGGTCAGAGGTTGGACTACGTGATCTTGGAGGTATCTTCCAACCTAGATGATTCTGTGGTTCTATGATTGTGACCACCACCACCAACAGCAAAAAGAATTTATGTGATATAAGTGAGTTTAACAACTTCATTGCAATACATTAGTGGACATAAGCTCTTCAGTACATTTTACTCAATTCAGCATTCCAGGTTTTTAGAGCACTTATAGTTTACTTTTTCCTTAAATCACTTTTCTCAACAAAATATTCAGTGAAAATATCAATATTTTATACAGAATTATTTTGCCCTCAGGATACACTGTTCTTTTATAAACATGCACTTCTCATACTTCCTGCAGTTTCTAATTAAAAATATACCAAGATTTCTAATCGCTATCAGATTTTGCTAGTGTTGATTGACATTACCAAGTCTTCTACCAGCTTATATGGTCCAAGAGAAATTCTAGTTGTGAGCAGGATCTTTTAAAAAATAATTTTTAAAAATATATATTTCACAATGATAACAATAAGGGGAAATATAGTAAAGGAGGATATATATATATACATGCATATATATATATGTATTTTTTTCCCCACAGTGTAACTTTAAATGGATCTCATGAATCACAGATGAGTACTATGAATATATTGTACAAATTATTACATATTTACTACTTCTCTCTTTAATACTTTTTTTTATTTTCTACTTATGAAATATCTGGCCTAAAATGAAACCTTTATCCATTACTGTATGTCACATTACTGAGGTACATAAATGACTAGTATTAATAATTGCAAATAAATTTCATTTCCAGTGTGGTCACTAGAAATATCAAATCAAGTCAAAATTCATGTGAATTTTGCCCTTTATTGCTTTTATGTCATCAGTGATTCAGAAAGGGGGAAAAAAAAATAATAATAAAAATAATTAACCTTTAGTGGTTGTTTTTCACTTTTCCTTCCTTCCATGAAGAACAACAAATAAATACATTTTTAAGAGCCATTTTAAGAGCAACTAAATATCTTCTTTTAGAAAGAATAGATTAACTTTCAATGTTTGGAAAACAGAATTAATCAGTTTGGATTGGAAGGGACCTTTGAATATCATCTAGTTCAACCACTGCCATGGGCAAGAACATCTTCCACTAGATGAGGTAGCTCAAAGCCCCAGCCAACTTGAATTTCATCACATCCAATCATCAACAAATTTCTGAGCATCAGCAAATTTTCTGGGAAACCTGCTTCAGTGTTTCACACCTCTCACCATAAGAAATTTCTTCCTTTTATCCAATCTAAACCTACCCTCTTTTACTTTAAAAAGTAAAAGACTACATGCCCTGGTAAAAAAGTATTTATTGATCTTTCTTATAAGCCCCCTTTACGTATTGAAAGGCTGCAGTAAGGTCTCCCCAAAGCCTTCTTTTCTCCAGGCTGAGCAGCCCCAACTATGAGCCTTTCCACATAGGAGAGTTGTTTCAATCCTCTGGTCAATTTGTGGCCCTCCTCTGGACCCACTCTAACTGCTCCATGGCTTTTTCCTACTGGAGACACAAGAACTAGAAGTACTTCAGGTGGAGTCTCACAAAAATGGAGTAGAAGGGGTAAATAACCTTCCTCAACCTCTTTTTATGTAGTCCAGGATAAACTTAGCTTTTTGGGCTGCAAGTACCCATTGCTGGCTCATATCTAATTTTTCATTCATCAGTATCTCCAAGGCCTTCTCTGTGGGCCTGTTCTCAACCCATTCATCACCCAGTCTCTACTCATACTAGGGATTGCCCCAACCCAGGTGCGGGATGATGCACTTGACCTTGTTGAACTTCATGAGGTTCACAAAGATCCACTTCTCAAGCCTGTCAGGGTCCCACTCTATGGCACACCTTCTCTCTGGTGTACTGGCTGCACCACTACTCAAGTTGGTATCATCTGCAAACTTGCTGAGTGTTTACAATTCTATGTCATTGTTTAAAGTATATAAATTTAGAAGGTGTAATTATGACCTTTATTCATCTCTTTTGGAAGCTGTGCCCTGTCAAGCAGGAAACACAGCTTGGAAAACATTTGGAAGGGTAAGGCACAGGGCAGGCAGATATAACTGCTAAAAATTTCCTGCACTTTCAACTGTTCATTTGATAAACTTATATGCCTGAAGTATATCTGTATTAGGTATACATGTCAAGATTTTTTAGTGAGGGAGGCTACAGTGGATGCCTCTGTGAGAAGAGTCCAGAAGCTTCCCCATGTCAGATAAGAGCCACATCTAGCCAGTTCCAAAAGGGACATGTAACTGGCCAAAGCTAAGCCAATGTTTGACAATGTTTGAATTTCTATGAGAGCATATTTAAGGGGAAAACTGCTAACTGCTAAGAAACAGCAACTGGGAAAGAGAAAAAATAGAGAGACTCCTGCAGGCCCTAAGATTAGTAAAGAAGGAGGGGAAGGAGGTGCTCAAAGACCAATAAAAGAGGGTGGATGGAGGGAAAGGTATTTTTAGTTTGCTTTTAGTTTCTTACTGCTCTAGTCTGTTAACAATAGGAAACAAGTTATATTAATATCCCTACAATTTCTGCTTTCCCCATGGCAGTAATTGGTTAGTGATCTCCCTGTCTTTATTCATCCTTGAGTCCTTTTTCTCCCTCTCTTCCTTGAGGAGGCAGAGTAAGAGAGTGATTATGGTGAAGTTCAGCTTCTCATCAGGGTGAAGTCACCACAATTCATCATCTGTACACTTAGGAAGACTTAGCTGATTTTTCTAAAGTACAAGATACTATCACCCTTCTTCTACTGATCCAGGTGTGCACAGGTTTCTCATTAGCAACTTTAACAACTTTATCTGAAGATAAAAATATAACAGTTTCTATTAAACATTTCACACTTCATACATATTTCGTACATACAAAATGAGCACAAATACGAATACAAATACGAACTTGTAGATGGAATGCTAAAAAAGATCTAACCATTTTTTTAATACTCTCATCTCTACACCCATTATGGACATTCATTCTTTATTAATATTTTTCAGTGAGCACATACACAACATCAAAAATTTAATGAAAACTTACTTTAAACAGAAATTTAACTAATACGTTAGCTAACAACTGTATAATGATAATACTTATTACTGTTAAACAAATAAGAAACCTCTTTATATGAGATGGAAACAATCTTAGAAACTGTGATGTAGAAATTAGTAATTAGAGGTGTTCTTACAGTCTTGAGAAGTCATGATGCAAGATTAAAATGCCATTTAAAACTATAATACCATTTCAATTTTAAAGAAAAAAAAAAATAAAGAGAGAGAGAAATTATGGTTAAGTCACTATACAGAATGCATAAAGTTAAATGCAGGATAATGCTAACAATACAAGCATTGATAAGTAACTGATTTATATATATATATACATTATACATACATACAACAATATGTATGAAATGCTTACTAAAAATAAAATCATGTAAGACATAGAACTACAATGTCAAGTATAAGTTCTGTTGGAAACCTTCATAACTTAATTCTGTGCTTAGCTAGTCTTTATGCAAGAACACAAACTGAATCTTTGCTTGAGTAAGAATATTGGGATATTGCCTATTCTTTTATTACAAATATGAAAAAAATCATGCAACCACTCATAATTAAATAAAATTGAAAAAAAAATTGCTATAATATGATACATTTATTCCTTAAGCAGAATTTTAGAAATCCTAAATTCCCTTCTAAATTCCTTTAAAAATCCACTTTCTAATGTTTACTCAATTATTTCTGTACAAAATCAATTCCCACAAGAGCAGTCAGTAAAAAAAAAAAAAAAAATGTCTGCTGAAGGTAAAATTTACTTACAATATAATTTTATTATTGTTATTATTACAACATATATATCTTCTGCTAACCCACTTCACAACCATCTTCTCTGAATCACAGAATGATCAAAGTGGAAGCTCTTCTGCAGCTCATCTTGTTCAACCTCTCTGCTCAAGCAGGGCCACCTATGGCTGGTTGCCCAGGACCATGTCTAAGTAGCTTTTAGACATCTCCAGGGAGGGACACTCCATAACCTCTCTGGGCAATCTCTTCCAGTGCTCAGTCACCCTCATAGTAAAGTGTTTTCTGATGTCAGAATGTCAGAATGAGTTTCAGTTTGCCTGTTGTCCTGTCACTGGGCACCACTAAAAAGAGCCTGTCTCTGTTCTCTTTGCACCCTCCCTTCAGGTGTTTATAGATATTCTTACAATTACCCCCTGTGCCTTCTCTTCTCTAGGCTGAAGAGTTCCAGCTCCCTCAGCTTTCCCTCATAGGAGAGATGCTCTAGTCCCTTCATCATATTAATGACCATACATGGGATTCTTTCCAGTATGTCCATGTCTCTCTTGCACTGGGGAACCCAGAACTGGACATAGAACTCTAGATGTGACCTCACTGATGCTGAATAAAGGAGAAAGATCACCTTCCTCAAGTTGCTGACAGTACTTTGCCTAATGCAGCTCAGGATGTTACTGGCTTTATTAGCAGCAGGGCACACTACTGACTCATGTTCAACTTAGTGTCTACCAGGACCCCCAGGTCCTTTTCTGACAAGATGCTTTCCTGCTGGATAGGCCCTAGCATATATTAGTGCATAGGCTTGTTCCTTCCCAGGTGCAGGAATTTGTGTTCTTCCTTGCTGAACTTGATGAGGACCCTTTCAGTCCATTTCTTCAGTCTGTCCATGTCCTTTTGGATGGCAGAACAATTAACTGGTGAATCAATGGTTCCACACAGTTTTGCATCATCTGCAAACTTGCTGATTCTACCCTCTGCCCCATCAACCAAATAATTAATGTAGTAGCATTAAAAAGGACTGGACCCAGTACCAATCCCCGGAGTACACTGCTGGTTGCCGGTCTCCTATTAGACTTTGAATTACTAATGAATACCCTCTGGGCCAATTAATTTAACCAGTTTTTGTTTCACCTCAGTGTCTGCTATCCAACCCATTCATCAACAGCTTGTCTATGAGAATTTTATGGAAGCCACTGTCAAAGACTTCAAAGGCCTTTAAGTCCAGGCTGAAAACATCCACTGCTTTTACATCAGGCTGTTTCATTATAGAAGCTTATCAAGTTTTTCAAGCATGACTTTCCCTTATTGAATCCATGCTGACTATTCCTGCTGTTTTTCTTGTGTTCCATGTGTGTGGAAATGTTTTCTGGAATTAGCTGCTCTATCTCCTTCCTAGGGATCAAGGTGAGTCTGACTGGCCTGCAGTTCCCCAGGTCCTTCTTCTTGTTCTCTTTAAAGATAGGATTGATATTTGCTTTCCTCCAGTCTTCAGATCACAGAATCACAGAACTGTAGGGTTTGGAAGGGACCTTGAAAGATCATCCGGTCCAGCCCCCCTGCCAAAGAAGGTTCCTCAGAGAATCTTTCAGGTATTTCTTCCAGTTTCCACAGTCAATCAAGGATTATCAAAAGTAGTCTTCTAGTGACACATGACATTTCCCTTAACACTTGTGAGGGAAATCAGGGCCCATCAGAACTCAAATCAGTCCACTCCCATCAGGGCCAATGGACTTATGCATGTCTAATTTATTAAACATTCCCTGACCTGATCCTCTTCCATCAAGGGCACATCTTTCTTGCTCCAGTTTTACTTTATGGTTTCTTGTACCTGGGATTCCAGAGGGCTTGTCTTACTCATAAAAACTGAAGCAAAGAAAGGACTCAGTAGCTAAACCTTTCCACCATTTATGACCTATTGTGTTTTCCCTTCAAAAGACATCAGTGGCTGAAGCACCTCATGAAAATATCTGTCTGTAAACAACCTACCTACTTGTTCTACCTTCATATGGCCTGAAGCGGTAACATTGCCCAAACTTGTCATTTCTTATTTCTTACAGCTTTCACATCTGATGGTGCCTGAGAGCTGCATTTCAACCTACCTCTTCTATTAAAATTAGATTTATGGTTCAGGGTGTGACAAAGCCTAGAGCTCCAAGGAGACTGGAGCTGAAAAAGACATGCCTAGAAAAGCATGGGACTACAACAAGATTTGTCTGGTCACAGCTTTTTCCACTGGACCAGCTGTGGTGCCCAAGAGCTCCATATTGTAATGCTATATAGAAAGACAGTATCTACACCTAGAATTATAGAATTGCTTGGGTTGGAAGGGACCTCAAAGAAGATTTAGTTACAACTTCATTGCCATAGTATGTCTTATCTTCTTATACCTTTTCTCATTAAATCATTTCTTAATTCTATCTCTGTAAAAAGGAAAGGGGCAGACACTTACCCCAAGCTGGGCAGAGACCACAGATCCACAGGCACTCGCATAGGCTCCAGTGGATACGCAGGAGTGGTCCTGGGCCAGAACAGCTGAAGGAGGTTATTGTGCTCTCTGCTTCAATTAACACAGCTCAGCTAACCTCTACAATTAGAGTTCAGAAAGCGACAAAACCTAGAGCTTCAGGAACACTGGGGATGATAAAGACATGCCAAATGAAACAAGTGACTGCAACAAGATTTGTCTCCTTGTAAATTTCTCCTTTAGACCGGGAATTGTGCCTGAGATATTTAGATTGCCACACCTCTACCATTAGGGTTACGGCTCACAAATTGACATAGACAAGAACTCCTAAAACAATGTGGCTGAAAAAATGCATAAAACCCAAGAGGAACTGGGGTTGCTAAAGACATGCAAAAAGAAATAATGGACTGCAACAAGATTTGTACCCCCCAGACTATTCCTAGTGATAGCACCTTAATACTTTGGCCTAACCCACCTCTATGATTAGGGTTAGGGTTCAGAGTAGAGTTCACAGAATCATAGGATCGTAGAATATCCTGAATTGAAAGAGACCTACAAGAATCATTGAGTCCAATGCCTGGCTCTGCACAGGACAACCAAAAAATCCAGCCTGAAGCTCCACTGTTGTGGCTCCTTGCATTCACTTGAGTCATCTCGCTGCCACCACAGAAAAGAGATCAGTACCTACCCCTCTGCTTTCCACATGAGGAAGATGTAGGCTGCCATGAGGTCTCTCCTCAGTCTTCACTTCTCTAGGCTGAACAATCCAAGTGACTGTAACAAAGCTTATAGCCCCAGAGACACTGGGGTTGAAAAAGGTACAGCAAGGGAAGCAAAAAACTACAACAAGACTTGTCCCCTCACATATTTCTGCTCTTGGCAAGTGATTATGCTTGAGAGGTCTGGCTGAGCCCACCTAAACCATTAGGGTTAAACTTAGGATTCAGAGGGTGACATAACCTAGAGTTCCAATGACACTGGGGCTGCTAAAGGTATGACAAAGTAAGCACCATACTACAGCAAGCTTTGTCCCCTAACAGCTTTGACCTCTGAGCCAATGACATGAGCTCTGTTGTGAGTTCTGGCTGAGCCCACCTCTACCATTAAGGTTAGCATTCAGAAAGTAACAATGCTTAAAGCTCCAACACTAGAGCTGAAAAATACATGCCAAGGGAAGTACTGCAACAATATATATCCCCTCACAGCTTTCCTATCCAAACTAATGATGATGCCTGTGATTTCCATCTGAGTCCACCTCTAACATTAGAGTTAAGATTAGGACTAGAGAGAGGCATAGCCTAGAAAAAAAATCTGCAGGGATTTTTTTATTTTTTATTTTTATTTATTTCCCTGGAAAAGGCATGCCAAGGTAACCCCAGGACTTCAAAAAGATTTGTCTCCTCACAGGTTTCTCCAGCAGACCCATGATGGCTTGAGATTTCTGGCTAAGCTTACCTCCATCATTAAGTTTAGGTTTAGGGTTCAGAGACTGACATATACTAGAGCTTCATGGACACTGGGGCTGCTGAAGGCATATGTAAGCTTTGTCCCATGACAGCTTTCTCTTTTAGGCCAGTTATGGTTCCCATAACCTCCAGCTCAGCCCACCTCTACCATTACAGTTAGGCTTAGGGTTCAGAGAGTGACAAAGCTTGGAGTCCAAGGTGCACTTAGGCTGAAAAAGACATGCCAAGGTAAACACAGAACTGCAACAAGATTTGTCATTGTGCTGTATTCTCCTTTCTATGACAGACAGCTTTATTGAACTCTGGCTCTACCTACCTCTACTACAGAAGTTAAGTTTAGGATTCTGAGTAAGAATATCAGTATTAATTTTACTGATATACATTCCTTTTTTTTGTTTGTGTTTTCTTTTTTAACCGGAGAAGATCAACAACTATGAAGACTATCAGAAAATAATAAGGAATTAAATAATAAAAATAATAAAAAATAAATATTAGAAAATTATTAGTAAACCCCATAGAATTTTAATTGACTAATATTAACATAGTTTTTTTTTTTACATTAAATAATATTCAGTATAAACTTGTTAAAGTATTTCTCCCTTCCCTTCCCTTCCCTTCCCTTCCCTTCCCTTCCCTTCCCTTCCCTGTTCTTGATGGAGAGCAACTTTATTTTCAATCAGATAATGATACGACAAGAGGGAATGGTTTTAACCTAAAAGAGAGGAGAATTAGAATAGAGATTAGGAGAAAATTCTTCACTCAGAGGGTGGTGAGGCACTGGAACCCCAGAGAGGTTGTGGATGCCTCATATATTGAGGTGTTCTAGACCAGGCTGTATATGGCCCTGGGCAACTTGATCTAGTATGTGGCAACCCTGCCCATGGCAAGGTGCTTAGAACTATAATTTCTTTAATGTCCCTTCCAATCTGAGCCATTCTCTGATTCTCTGATTCTGTGAGTAAACAAGGTCATTCAGGATTTTATCTTGATTCTATTCATATTATTTCATTAATGTTTTGACTGAAAATATGCTTAGCTATGGCATAAAGCAGGAAGAAACTGAAAATCTTCTCAATAAATGGATCAAAATTAAAAGAAAATAAATCATTTTCACACACATACACACAACGAGGAAGCTGAATGAAATTCATCAGCAAATAAAAGATGTTTTTTAATGGAAAAATAATTACTTGATCAAATACATCTTTAGAAACCATTGGCTTGGCATTGGGTCTATCAGAAAAGCACACAGAGTATTGTGGATTTTATGTTGGATATGAATAATATATGTAGTTTCTCACAGAAGATATAACATTGTGACATAACAGCAAATGTAAAGAATGTATGATGTGAGAAGCAGACCTTTCTATTTTCTAAGCAGTGCTAAGGCTCATCTGGAGTTATGTCCAGTTTGGGGTATTGCCCTTCAGTTAAGAAATGAACAAATTGAAGATTGTCCTCAGAGAGAAATAGTTATCCGGAATTTAGTAATGATGCCTTGCAAGAAAGTGTAAGGAAATGTGTTTTTTGTTGCTTTTGCTCAGAGCAGAGAAATCTGAAGGAGACAGTCGTGGGACAAGTAGAGAAGGCTGTTGCAAAAATAATTGTGGTGTCCATAGGATTACCTTGCAGCCAAGAGTTTTCAAGTTAAATATTAGAGAGCATTTTCTAAACAAAACAAAACAAAATAAAACAAACAAAAGCCCTGCATTCAAATAGATTATTTTATTAAGTTGTGGAATATCTGTCTTTAGTCTTACCTAGAGATATTCAGGTCACATGTCACATGGCTTCCAGAATTAACAAAAGTCCATGTCCTTGTGTATGATAACTATAGGGATAGAATCACAGAATCACAGAATTTCTAGGTTGGAAGAGACCTCAAGATCATCGAGTCCAACCTCTAACCTAACACTAACAGTCCCCACTAAACCATATCACTAAGCTCTATATCTAAACGGCTTTTGAAGACTTCCAGAGATGGTGACTCCACCACCTCCCTGGGCAGCCTGTTCCAGTGCCTAACAACCCTTTCAGTAAAGAAGTTCTTCCTAACATCTAACCTAAAACTCCCCTGGCGCAACGTTAGCCCATTCCCCCTCGTCCTGTCACCAGGCACGTGGGAGAACAGGCCAACCCCCACCTCTCTACAGCCTCCTTTGAGGTATCTGTAGAGAGCGATAAGGTTGCCCCTGAGCCTCCTCTTCTTCAGGCTGAACAAGCCCAGCTCCTTCAGCCGCTCCTCATAGGACTTGTTCTCCAGGCCCCTCACCAGCTTCGTCGCCCTTCTTTGGACCCGCTCAAGCACCTCGATGTCCTTCTTGTAGCGAGGGGCCCAAAACTGAACACAGTACTCGAGGTGCGGCCTCACCAGAGCCGAGTACAGGGGGACGATCACCTCCCTAGCCCTGCTGGTCACACTGTTTCTGATACAAGCCAGGATGCCGTTGGCCTTCTTGGCCACCTGAGCACACTGCTGGCTCATATTCAGCCGACTGTCCACCATCACTCCCAGGTCCTTCTCTGCCTGGCAGCTCTCCAACCACTCATCTCCCAGCCTGTAGCTCTGCTTGGGGTTATTGCGCCCCAGGTGCAGGACCCGGCACTTAGCCTTGTTGAACTTCATGCAGTTGACCTCAGCCCATCAGTGCAGCCTATCCAGATCCTCCTGCAGAGCCTTCCTACCCTCGAGCAGATCGACACACGCACCTAACTTGGTGTCATCTGCGAACTTACTGAGGGTGCACTCAATGCCCTCGTCCAGGTCATTGATGAAGATGTTAAAGAGGACCGGCCCCAGCACCGAGCCCTGTGGGACGCCACTAGAGACTGGCCTCCAACTGGACTTGACTCCATTTACCACGACTCTTTGGGCCCGGCTATCCAGCCAGTTTCTAACCCAACGAAGCGTGCGCCAGTCCAAGCCAAGAGCAGCCAGTTTCTTGAGGAGAATGCTGTGGGAGACGGTGTCAAAAGCCTTGCTGAAGTCAAGGTAGACCACATCCACAGCCTTTCCCTCGTCCACCCAGCGCGTCACTTTGTCATAGAAGGAGATCAGGTTCGTCAAGCAGGATCTGCCTTCCATAAACCCATGCTGACTGGGCCTGATCGCCTTCAAGTGCCGCATGATGACTCCCAAGAGGATCTGCTCCATGAGCTTCCCTGGTACTGAGGTCAAACTGACAGGCTGTGTTGGGTCTGTCTGAGCTGGAGTCACCTTTTCCCTGCAGCAGCCCGCACAGTGCTGTGCTCTGCACTCGTAGCTGGAACAGCACTGATATCACTCCAGTGTTGTGTCTATTGCTGCGTAGTGCTGGCACAGCATCAGGACTCCTAAGCCCCCAAGAGCCAGCAGGCTGGGGGTGGGCAAGTGATGGGGAGGGGACATTGCCGGGGCAGCTGACCTAAACCAACCAAAGGGATATTCCATAACACCTGATGTCACACTCAGCAATAAAAGGGGGTCTCTCGTGGGGAAGGGGGCTGTTCCTCCTGAACAACCACTACACGTTTGAGGCCCTGCTTCCCAGGACGTGGCCGAACACCGCTCGCTGATGGGAAGTAGAGAATAATTTTTCTCTCTCTCTGTG